TTAGGGCAAACCAACCCCTTTGGCCCAAACTCCCTCTCCCTCCCTTCTTGCCGGACCCTGACCCCCCCCCCCCCAGCACGACCAAGGGGGGCCGGCAAGGCCCTGCGAAAGACGGAGGGACGAGGACGAAGCCCCCTTCGCAGCCCCCTTCGCCCGCCCCTCCACCCCGCAGGCCTACACCCTCCACGTCGCCCTGCCCGGCGCCAAGAAGCAGGACATCGGCGTCGACTGGGACGCCGACCGCTCGACCCTGCGCATCGCCGGCGTCCTCCACCGGCCGGCCGATTCGCAGCTCCTCGAGGCTCTGCTGCCCTCGCACGCCGAGCGCCGGGTCGGCTTCTTCGAGAGGGTCGTCGCGCTGCCGCCTGCGGGCCATGAGCAGCCGAGGCGCGAGCAGAGGGTCTTTGTCGATGGCGAGGCCGAGGCCGAGGAGAGCGAGACTGAAGAGGGGCGGGAGGAGATTGATGGTGCTGGGATCATGGCCAAGATGGAGGATGGCATTTTGATCGTTACTGTGCCCAAAGTCGAGAGAGGGTGGACCGAGGTCCGGAAGGTAGACATTGAGTAAGGCTTCGATGTCGTGCTTGTGGTAAGGGATCTCGGATCTGAAGGAAGGTCTGGTGATATGCGCTCTGGAGTTTAGGCATTCGAATAGCTAATCAATCATAATCATCTGAAAACTGTCCTCTCTGAATACGCCATTAATTCGTACCTGCTAGTGATTCATCAAGTCGTGTAAACCAGGCTCGTCATTGAGAGAACTAAACAAATACACCGCAGAAGCAGAAAACACCCGTAATCACCACTGCCCAGCGTAAAAGAAACCCCTGATTGCACCAATCCACTTCCAGATATGCACCCATTACCGCATCTGCGCAGGTATCAGCAAGAATGGATCGCTCTTCGCCGCCGTCTCTCTTCAAGCACGCAGCTGCGCCTCGTCTTGCTCGCGCTCGTCGGCCAGTCCATCGTTATCACGCAGACCGCCCTGGGTTCCGCTGCCTGACTCCGTTACTTCGTCGTAAGTCGAAGTACCCTTTCCCTTGAGGCCGACACCGCTCCCCTGCAGCGGGCTGTCGGATGACACGAGAGACTCAGAGCCGGCCGTACCTTGTCGGAGAAGCGGCTCGTTCTGGGGTGGTGCGACACCGAACTCGTCTGGCTGGGGCTGCCAGTCACGCAGGTCATCCTCGGCGTCGTTGAGGATCTGGCGAGCTTGCTGAGAGTGCGGGTACGGGGCGACAGCATCGCCAGGAGCCACAGGGGCGTCATCGAGGAGGTGCAGGAGACGGCGGCCGTGCTTGGCCAGGAGAATCTGCTTCTCAGCACGTTCGATAGTGGCGGCGAACTCAGCCTCGTAGGCCTCCTTGAGCTTCTGGCGGGTCTGCAAGATTGCTGTTAGCCTGAGTGATACCAGCGAGGAAACAGTAGACTAGTGAACGCACAATGTTGGTCAGCTGCGCCTCGGCGACGAGGTTCTCGGCCTCGGCCCTGACGAGTTGCTGCTCCAGCACGACGAGCTTGGCGCTCTCCGGCTCCTTCATCTTAAGCTTCTGGATGTCGTCGGCGATCTTGCTCTTGCCATCACGGCTCGGCTGGACGCTCTTCTCCGTGTTGCGAATGGCCTTGAGGTAGGCGCGTGAATCGTCGAGCGCGTGGGCGTACGACTCCTCGAGCTCGCCCATCTCGCTGAGCACCACGCCCACCTTGTCGGAGATATCGCTGATGGACTCGTCGCCGGTGTGCTCGCCCCACTCGGACAGCTGGGTGGCAATGGACACGCGCTCACGGCCAGCAGCCTCGTGGGCAGAGATCAGGTTGTTCTCTGACTTGATCAGGCGGTACAGCTTGCGAGATAGCTCGGGCTGAACATTGCCGCGGAGAGAGTTGAAGGAGAAGCCGCCACCGCCATTGCCTCGCCGGCCGCCATTCTGGGACGAGTTCCCACGGCTCTTGTTAGAGCGGATGGATAGGGCGCGGTTCCTAGAAGGGATCAGTTGGGCAACTCCAGGAGAGTTGGTGAAACCTGGGATAGAGAAGGGAGAGTATTGCTGGATGAGTGCAGAGAGTCGGCCCTCCTCACCACTTTTTCGCGTGGGGGGCAGGGCGACAGGTTGTGATGACATGATGAAGAATCGTCCAAGGGCTCACGGTGCGCTCGATACTTACATGTTTGAGGTGAGGTGAGGCCCGGATGAGGGAAGATCTCCACGGTATATCTGGCGCTTTCCTGTCGACTGACTGTTGCTGTCGCAAGAGAAGAGGAGGAGGGACAGTGACCTCGATTCAACGCTTATAGTGCTAGCGACCAAGTCAAGAGCTACCAGTTGGGTCCGTTCAGGTAGGAGGGGTTCGTTGCAGGTGCGTCTGAATGTCACGATATTGCGGAAGAGGCAGGTAGATTCCGAGTTCAATGCAGTACAATATAGGTAGGTACGATGCAGAGGGTAAGCTAAGGCAAGGGAATGGAAGATCCAGGAAGCTTGGGAAGCCCTGGGGCGGGAGCCGTCGACGACGCGGGGCTTTATGGGATGATCTACGGCAGGGAATGACAGCAGCGGGTAGCTGTAGTAGCATTGCACCCAAGTGACACTTCTCCGCAGTGAGACACCAGTGGTCATAATGTGGCAGCCACGACCGCATTCCGGCGGCTTGAAATGAACCTATCGCCCCCGTTCTTGCCTTAGTCGAGCCCTGGGCGCGCGCGAGTGAGGGAGGCGAAAAATAAAAAGCGAAAGGAGCGACCCCGAGCTCGCCGGGCGAGGTGATGATGGCACTGGGCTGGAGGGGTACCCGCAGTGATGTCATTGCCAGACCCCGGGTGGGTGAGGTCCCCCACCTTTCTCAGCTGAATGCGGTGGGCGGTGGGGAGTCGTGCGTCCTGCCTTGCTTGGCCGGCCCGTCTGGAGACATCATGTGCGTGCGTGTGCGTCTACGGGGACATCGAGGCGGGCAGGCAAGGCAGGGCAGCCTGGCCGATCGACGCTCAAGGCTAGGTACCTAGGTAGGCTCGTGATGGCTTCGTGTGCTGATTCGCAACTCATCATGCTGTGGTGCACATTTTAATGCCGGCTGAGATTGAGCAAGTCATGAACCGTCCATTATCGTACCATACATTCAAAGCCGCATCCTGCGACAGCGCTATGACAACCTCCCAAAACCCCCAGGACGCAAATGCGCCATCGCTATACCATTAAGCAAATGAATCTCATCCCAAAGGTAACACCAATCGTCCAATCATCGAGCTACAAGGAAAAATGCCACCGCAGCCCCCCGTGGTTCTAAGATCGTGCAACCCTTCTCGTCCCACCTCCCGCACTCTTGGAGTGTTCAGGTACTAGCTAGTACCGAGTTCGGCTCGTGCGTTCATAAACAATGTCGCCCTGAGGGTGTGGATCATACGTCCGCCGCGTGACACTGGTGTAGCTCGCGCGCGGCGACCGCGAGTGCGAATGGTGGTGGTGATGGTGGTGTCCATGGCTATGATGGTGGTGGCCGTAGTGTTTCCTCGTTGGGATGACCTCCTCGTGGTAGTAGTGTTGTCGTGTGGACCCAGCTCCGAAGCACATATTGGTGGTATACTGGTGGCCGTTCTGGTGATGTTTTGGTGGTTGTCGGCGGGTTTACCGGATGTGGATGAAGATGATGGTGCAATGCAGGTACGAGCAAGATGTCTTGAAACCAAATGGTTGCCTTTGATTGTATCTGGGAGAACAAGCAGAGTGGCTGGCGTGACGCGGACTTCAGAAGAGAAACGGGCTTGCGCAAGTGGGCAGGCTGGGCCTTGTTATATGAGACCCTGGCTTGCCTGGTCATCATTTAAGTCATCCGAAACTGCCACCAAGCAAGGCCGTCCATGCGAGATGCTGACAAGAGGCGCCGCATCCTGTTTACGAGCCCCTCATCGCGCTTACTTGATTTTGGCTCAAGTGGGAGCGTGGTGTCATGCAATGCAGGGCGCAGTCAGTTGCGACTTTGGACCTGACCATCCATGTCCTGGTAATTCTGCACTGGGTTTTCAACTTGCGGCCAAGCTTCTAATGAGACCCGGCCCAGCTCGGCCTTGACAATTTACTCACCTTTGCTGTCAACGCCGCCAGCTAACATCAGGAGCATACGTGTGAAAGGACTACCTTGGCACCGTTGAATCCACGACCTACATGAGCAGACCCAGTTCGGCAACAATTGATCGAATCCCTCGTAGAGTCAACTTATCGGTATTTCACATTGCCAGGGTAATGATCACATTGTATCGCCTCAACTGACCAATCGCGCTCTCATTGCGGCATAGCTAATCACAGCAAAATGGCCTTTCCAGCCAGTCCAATCATCCTCTCTAAAGCCGTCTTCGCTTTTTTGACGCCGCCTGTTGATGATGTTACATTGTGCACTCGAGGCGAGAAACACGCCCCCCTCTAGTCAACGAATCTATGCCACCTTTTTGGTCGAGAAAGCAAAGTCAAGCGTCCCGATGGCCCAGGCACCCACAAACACGGCGACCATGCTGCCGAAAACGACGAGGGGCTTGCGCAGCGCCGCGGTGATCGAGTAGTCGTACGACACGTAGATCTCACGGTCCCTGAACTCGTCCACCAAGTTACGCGCCTTGAGTGTAACCGAGGTGCGGCCCACGGTGTCGAGGAATGTCTTGAACACGTCAACAGATGCCTCAGTGATGGAAGTTTCGGGCACATCAGTCCAAATCTTGACATTCCTGTTCTCTGTCAGCTTTTTGAATTCCACAGTACAAGTCGACAGCGGATTGACTTACTCAGCGCCCTCGGGAAGCAGGATGCGCACGTTGATCTGACCATATTCGACACCCTCGGGCTGCTTAGGACCCTCGAGGAAGGGGACGTTCAGGACGTAACCGCCGCCAGCAGCATTTCGCAGGAAATTCTTGGCATCCGAGTTCCAACCGACGGTGAAGGGGTACCTCCAGCCGCCGAAGATGGGGTACCGGGGCTTGGCCTCCAGGAGAGCTTCACGCTTACTGCTGCGGAACTTGGAGGTCGAGACGTTGCCAATGACATCGGTGTAGTAGGGTTGCTCGCTGCCGGCCTTCAGCGGGAACCTCAGCTCCTTAAGGGCGAAGGATGTCGGGTTGAAGTACTGAGATTGCGCCCACTTGACGCGGCTGAAGGGGCTCGACAGGTTGGCGCCACGGTGGAACAGAGTGTAGCGCTCCTCGAAGGCGACGTTACCGCCCCAGTGGCTGACCTCGATATCGCGGTCCAGGTTGGAGACGTGGCTCACGGGCTTGGTAAACTCGAAGCGCACCGAGGCGGGCGACACCGCTCCAGCGGGCTTCGCGTCGAAGGGACCATATGTGAGCTTGGCGCCGTCCTTCTTGGGGAGTTCGGCGACATCGCCAGTGCCGGGCAGCTTGGTGTAATCGGGAATGTTGGCCGAGTGGCTCTTGAGTTCGGTCTTCTGCTTGGTGGTGGGGTAGGCCGAAGGGCAGTAGACGGAGAAATCATAGACCAGATACTGCTGTTCCTCCTGGCTGATCGCAGCAGGAAGAGGAGTGTAGGACTTGAGCGAGTAGTAGGAGATGCCGAGGGTCTGTTGGCCGCCTGCCTTGAGCGGGGCAGGTAGGTTGATGCGGAAGTACTGGAGGTCGCTTTCACGATGTGAGCAAGAGACGGCAGAAGCACCCAGTCAATACTCAAACTCACCTGCTAGGGTCGACCTCGACAAGCTCGACTGTGAAAGGACCCGCCTCATCATTTTTCCTGTCCTTCACCTCGAAGCCACCCAATCTCGACATCTGATCCGCAGTAAACGGCAGGTAGTACTCGCTCTGGGGCTCCTTATCGACATTTTCGATCAGAACGTTAATCTGCTCCTTGACATAGTTCTTCTCAAGTGAGATGATGTGGACGAGATTGGCATTCTTGAAGACTGGGGGCGGCTGGAAGGTGGTGGTGTCAACCTTTGAGGTCTTGTCGGAGCTTGCGACAGCAGCAGAGACCAGGCTAAGGAGCCCAGTGGCGATGGCGAAGGCTCTCATTGTCGGGCAATGTCGATGAGCAGGCTCATGGACTGAGAGATTCGATTACACAGTATTGCGTTGAGAGAGCGACGAGGACTTTGTTGCACGGGAAAAGGCCTTACTCCATCGCTTGCTTGGTGCAGTGATCTGGCTCTTGCAACTGGACGACGACAGCTCTCGATTGGGAGTTGACAACGGGCTACGTTGCTTGACGCACGGGCCATGGACGTGCAATCGATTCAAGATGGCCCGAGCTCTCTCTTCCAATGAGCCACAGTGAGAAGCCACGGGTGGTAAGCCACCCTGTGGGTTTGTTCACGCCACATCTTTCGCTGAAAGTCGTCCTTTTTTTCTTGAGCTGTTGGCGAGCTCTGGAAGAGGTGGGGGCTCCTTTGTACGTCACTTTGTCCAAGCTCCCCCCTTCGCCTGGATACTGCATGTCAGCAGTAGGTACTTGGGGTTTGAGTACAGAGAAGGTTGATGGATAGGTGGGCGTGAGCATGGTCGCATTATGGCATAAACAGAAATAACTTGTCACGTTCGTGGAATTGGTTGGCATCATGGCTTTTTCCTGTTGTTGGCTCCCAGTACATCTCACCACTGTTCTGTGTTGTCCTGTCAGTCAACAAAGTCGGTCTGCAGACATGGGCACATCCAGCACATTTGGTGGACTTGCTTTTGCAGCTCACTTCCCAACCCTTGTCTCGTACCTGTTATGCCCATCCGGCCACCCACCTGCCAACTAGGGTCTTGCAATCACCAAGCAGTACCACATGATCAGCTGAGGTTGCTATGGCCTTAGTCGGCTTGTGGTTTGGCCTGTCTTGGGGTTTTGAGTCGAAGCTTCAGGCAAGGGTCTGTCGTCTGTCCAGTGGGAAGGCAAGACGTGGAACTCCGGGGGTCCGTAGAGGCGTCCAGGCGTTGAGGCGCCGCCTCCTCTCCCCACGCATTCCCACCCCAAGTCCCGACGTCAGCTCCAAGCTCTTACTAACGAGTCGTCTTCCTCTCTCCTAATCACCTAGACAATCATATTCCCTCAAACTCTATCAATTCCATATCTCCATCGTTGGCCTTGCTTCGTCCATCGAACCCGTAATCTCATACCCATCTTCCTAGACTCTTCAGATCTTGTCCAACGCTGACGCCCAGTCTTCCAAGAGCCTGTCTCGTTCAGACCCCTCATTACCCCTCCATCCCTCCACACCACACCACCACACCTCACCGTCAACATGGTCGGCATCGGTCCCAAGCCGCCCCCAAGCCGCAAGGGTGAGTGCAGATTTTCAATGCTTTCTGTGTGTTTTTGTTTGTTTGTCGAGAGACGTCATATCCAAGATGGATTCTCAGTGGACCTCGTGCTGCCTGTTTGTTTGGCCGCTCTCTCAATTCGCCTGCCAACCTGACTGGGGCTTTGCGAGCATGCCACCACTCATTCGCGTATCATGCTTTGCACCCAATTGATTGGAATGATGACCTATCACAAGCTCATCATACAGGCTGGGGTCTGCTGGAGGTTAAACCTTGATGCCAATCACATTCGCCATACTTCTTTGCGGCCAGAGGCACGTATGCCAGCAGAAATGGGAGCAAACCCTCCGGCATCCCATGTTGCAACACCATCCATAGCGGGAGTTTTGGCCCAGCGCTTGTTACAATATCGGAATCAGTGGGCCCCAAACGTCAGATTCGCCAAACATACTTCCGAGGTGCGCCCAGACGTCTTATCGAACCGTTATCCGTCTTGCACATTCACCGGCAGCATCGTTCCTGCCCCTGCCAGGGATGGGCCTCGCACCAATTCAGCCATAGGAGCCTTTCGCTTGAATTCACCAGAACGTGCCTCTCTCTGCAATTCGAAAAAGCTCCTTAGTCGACCTGAGATATAGAACAGACGAGAAGACAATTACGAATTATCCCTACAAGGCTTCTTTCAACATTATACTCACAACCTTCTTTCACCCTGTTGGGAATTTTACCCTTTACAGCACATTCCGTCCTGCACAACACGTCGTCTCCGACCAAAGAAACATCAGCAGCTCTCATTACAGCTTTTGCGCGCTCAAAGTTTACAGCATGTATACTGACCAGGATCGCAATCCAGGCTCGATGGCGGAGCTTCCCCAGGACCTGGTCCAGGAGATCCGTCACCTCGAAGAGATCCTCATTGTCAAGGCCTCGAAGCTTAAGGAGATCACCAACCACTTCGTCTCTGAGCTCGAGAAAGGTAAGTTGCATCCATTTGTTTTCCCACTAAGAACTTCGTCTGACGGAACCAGGTCTTAGCGTCGAGGGTGGAAGCATTGTGAGTGATGAACAGAAACGGGAAAAACATTGAAGGGAAACATGGCTGACTGACTTCCAGCCCATGAACCCGACCTGGGTCATGTCCTTCCCTGACGGTTATGAGACGGGCACTTATCTCGCTCTTGACATGGGCGGCACCAACCTGCGAGTTTGTGAGATCACCTTGACGGATAAGAAGTCCGAGTTCGACATCACGCAGTCCAAGTACCGCATGCCCGAAGAGCTCAAGACTGGTGTTTCTGAGGAGCTCTGGGAGTACATTGCAGACTGCCTCCAGCAGTTCATTGACACTCATCACCCTGAGCTCCCCAAGGACCAGAAGCTGCCTCTTGGTTTCACCTTCTCCTACCCCGCCACTCAGAACTACATCGACGAGGGTATTCTGCAGCGCTGGACCAAGGGTTTCGACATTGATGGCGTTGAGGGCAAGAACGTGGTGCCCCTGCTCGATGCTGCTCTGAAGAGCAAGGTAAGTGATCAAGATGGCGTGAAATAGGAAAAAAATTCTAACGGCAAGCAGGGTGTTCCTATCAAGCTTTCGGCCTTGATCAATGACACTACTGGTACTATGATCGCCTCGGCTTACACTGACACCAAGATGAAGATTGGTTGCATCTTCGGCACGGGCTGCAACGCTGCCTACATGGAGGACTGCGGCTCCATCCCAAAGCTCGCTCACATGAACCTGCCTGCCGATACTCCTATGGCCATCAACTGCGAGTGGGGCGCCTTCGACAACGAGCACAAGGTCCTGCCGCGCACTCCTTACGACATCATCATTGACCAGGACTCTCCTCGCCCCGGCCAGCAGGCCTTTGAGAAGATGATTGCTGGTCTCTACCTTGGCGAGATCTTCCGTCTTGTTCTCGTTGATGTTCACGAGAACAAGCCTGTTGATCTGTTCAAGGGCCAGGACATTTCCGCGCTGCGCAAGGCCTACTCGCTTGACTCTTCGTTCCTGTCTGCCATTGAGGAGTAAGTTTGTGCCTCATGAAACACATTTGCAGCTGCTAATACGGATAGGGACCCCTTCGAGAACCTGTCGGAGACCCAGGATCTCTTCGTCGCCAAGCTCAACCTGAACCTGAACCGCGCTGAGCTCGAGTTCGTCCGCCGCCTTGCTGAGCTAGTCGGTACTCGCGCTGCCCGCCTCTCAGCCTGCGGTGTTGCTGCTATCTGCAAGAAGAAGAACTACGAGACTTGCCACGTTGGTGCCGACGGCTCCGTCTTCAACAAGTACCCCCACTTCAAGGAGCGCGGTGCCCTGGCGCTCCGCGAGATCCTTGACTGGCCCGAGAAGAAGAACCCCACTGACGAGGACCCTATCGAGATTCTGGCCGCCGAGGACGGTAGCGGTGTCGGTGCTGCGCTGATTGCCGCTCTTACACTGAAGCGCGTCCAGCAGGGTAACGTTGCGGGTATTCTGCACCCGGACAACTTCAAATAAGCACGAGAACAGTGTAAAGCAAGGCGAGAAAGGACGTCCCGGGATTCATGATGAGACTGTGCACCGTCCATGAACATAGCTAGCTTAGACACCAGGACGGTCTTCTTCTAACGCACATGAAAACTATCCCTTTCATCTCTTTCTCGTTCTTTAAAAAGCCACGCAAGACGTGAGGCGCGTCGCCACAGGCATTTAGCACATGAATGTGCATAACGGGAGCCGGTACTCTGTAATCTCGTTAGCTTCGTACGAGGCTTCCTTGAAGTGAGGTTTGACTTACTGTCGAGTGTCCAGTATCTCCTCCGCACACCTTCCCACTCACCCTTCCCAGCCTCTTCCAAACCCTGAAGGTCAACATCAATCACCTCCCACTCCAAATCCAGACCTGCGTCTGTTGCATGCATCTCGACAACCTGTGTGTACACGTCGTAACAGATCTTCCGATCTGCGCCCAGGCCGTTGAAGAAGCCAAACCTACCCTCCTGTTCCATCAATCCAGGGATGTATTCTGTGAAAAACATCTTCAGCTGCGCATAATCCTCCCCGAATGTGTCAAAGTATATCGCATCATATGTCTCGCCAGCCTCCAGAAGCTGAGGCACGATATCCTGCCATCTGCCGCGGTGCACCTTGAAAGCTCCGTCCTCAGGCCCGCTTGCCTCCCACGCGGCGCCAAAGTTTGTGCCGCCGTTGTCAATGTGCGCCAGCACAACCGGGTGCGCCTCGATAATGTGGTGCCGTGCGGGCTTGGTATCCGCAAACATGCCATCGATGATGCCCATTCCGAACCCGACGTTGAGCACGCGCTTGCCCTCGGCGAGAGCCGGCTCGGACGCGGAGGCACGGAGCAAAACATCGACGGAGCGGCGCATGATGGAAGTCTCCCACGCCATCATGACGCCGTTGCCCTCGTCATCGACGAGCTTGACGTCGTCGTACGTAAGGTCCGAGGCGAGGTACGCCTCCGAATTGACGTCGGGCTTGGCGTCAGGCTCCTTTGTCTTCTTCGCTTCTTCGTCGATAGCGACGTCGTGGCCGTTGGCGTCCACGAGTTTAGGGGCCTCATCGCCATCTTCTTCTTCCTCGACGATTTCCATGTCTTCGACCGAACCTGAGGAAAGCTCCTCGTACTCGTCCAGCAGGCCGAAGAGGAGCTCGGCGCGGACGCCAGCCTCGACGCAAGCGCGGTAGAGAGAAGGGTGGCCGAGGCGGTCCGCGACGCAGCCGGGGGTCTCGTTGTTGCGATCTACATCGTTCCAGATGGCACCAGCAAGAAAGAGTTCTTGGAGGGTATCCTTGGCCTCATCGGCGGCAGTGTTGTCGGCATCCGGGGAGGGGTCGGCCGGGCCACAGGCTCGGATGGCGGCGTGAAGCGGTGTCTCGCCGGTTTCGGGATCCTGAAGACTCGCCTTGCCAGGGGCGTCGAGAAGGGCCTTGAGGTCGGAGGTATCGTGGGCCCAGGCGTGGTGGAGGATAAGCTTGACGTCTTCGGGGCACGACGCAGATATACGGGCGGGGAGGGAGTCGTCGATGATGGCCGGGGCTGTGGACGCCGAGGGCGTGTTAGCTGCCATGCCGATTGTTTAAATGGAAACAGGACGGCGAGATGAATCGTAGAAGTGGTGTGCCCTGCAGCAACCCCAAGCGTCGGCTCTCTCAGTATTGTCAGTGTTGGCAAAACTTATGTTGGCGGGGTTGACCACATTGGTGAAGCTTGGCTTAGAACCCCGCCATAATTTTTTGTGACTTGCCAGTGCGCAACAATGGGATACACAGCACAATCCTTGCTTCCAGAGGGGGGTGCCCCTCGCTACGGGCTTAGCCCAAGCCCCTAAGGTGCCCCAAAGCTGGATGGATGACCGGCACCTCGCGGCGACCTGCACCTGCACCTTAGCGGATGGCCAGAACAGGGTTGTGTACACGTGCACATGTGTCTCACCTGATTGGCCAATCCACCGGTTGCTGGTTGACGGAAGTGGGGCACGGGCATGTGAGAGCTTCAGACCCAGAGCTTCATCGTCGAATTGGCAGCCTCCATCTGAGGGAGGGAGATCCTGCTTTAAGCCTGACTTGGATTAACTTCGTTTTCCCAATCTTGCTGCCCTGCGCCATCCACGCCAGACTGCCTTTTCGTCGTCGAGGTTGCGTCAAGACCTGGCAACCCCCATTCCGCCTCGAACCAAAACCTGGCCATTGCGGCTTTTCGTCGCCGTCGCTCTGTCGTTGGTCTCTTCTTCCTGCCTCCCGAACAGGTACTTACAGCCAGCATCCCGGCCAGGCTTCGTGCTCGTCTTTGCTCTTACACCCCCATGCTAATTGTCCAAGACCTCAGGACCCGACAAAGATACTGGAGGTCAACCCGACTCCGACGCCACGATATCCCCTGGCGCGCTCCCCCAGGCATCATCGTCATGAAGTTCGGCGAGCAGCTCCGCTCGAGCATCATTCGAGAGTACCAGTGGTACTACATCGACTACGATGTTCTCAAGAAGGAGCTGAAGAACGCGACAGGTCCCTTTCTGACCGATTCCGACAATGGCGAACGCCGCCGCGACTGGACCGAGGAGGACGAGACACGCTTCGTGAAGAAGCTCGAGGTTGAGCTCGACAAGGTTCACACGAAGCAGCAGGTGAAGGCCATGGAAATCTCCCGGCGCATCGCCGTCAGCGAGAAGGAGGTTCGCAGCGTCGTCGCTCGCCTGCTCGAGCGCGGCCCGCAGGAGGCTGGCCCCAGCGAGGAGGAGTTCATGCTGTTGGAAGAGGCCCTCAGTGATGTCATCGCCGACGTCCACGACCTCGCCAAGTTCGTCCAGCTGAACTACACTGGCTTCTACAAGATCATTAAGAAGCACGACGTAAGGCTGGAAGACCTTGGATGGAATGATTTCTGTGTACTGACGAATGCAGAAAATGACTGGCTGGCACCTGAAGCCCGCATTCGACACCCGTCTCAAGGCCAAGCCGTTCTATAAGGAGAATTATGACGCTTCCGTCGTCCAGCTATCCAAGCTCTACGATCTTGTTCGAACTCGCGGCAACCCCGTCAAGGGTGACAGCGCCGCTGGAGGTAGCCAGGGCAGCTTCGTCCGTAACACAACAAAGTACTGGGTCCACCCTGACAACGTCACTGAGCTGAAGCTCATCATCCTCAAGCACTTGCCCGTGCTCGTCTTCAACGCCAGCAAGGAGTTCGATACCCAAGACTCTGCGATTACGTCCATCTACTACGACAACCCCGACAAGTGGGACCTGTACGAAGGTCGTTTGAAGAAGACGGAGGGTGCCGAGGCCATCCGTCTGCGGTGGTACGGCGGAATGCAAAGCGAGAATATTTTCGTCGAGCGCAAAACGCATCGCGAGGACTGGACCGGCGAGAAGTCAGTCAAGGCTCGTTTCTCTATCAAGGAGAAGAACGTCAACTCATATATGCGAGGCGAGCTCCTCCCCGCGGCTATCTTCGAGAAGGCGAGGAAGGAGGGCAAGAAGCCCACGAAGCAGATTGACGAAGACCAAAGACTTGCGGCCGAAGTCCAGTACTCGTGCCTCAAGAAGGGGTACAAGCCTGTGTGTCGGTCATTCTACAACAGAACCGCCTTCCAGCTTCCTGCCGACGCGCGCGTGCGTATCTCGCTCGACACCGAGCTGACCATGGTTCGTGAGGACAATCTGGATGGCGAGCAGCGTTCTGGTGACAACTGGAGGCGGATGGACATCGGCATCGACTGGCCGTTCTCTCAGCTGCCGCCCAAGGACATCGTCCGTTTCCCCTACGCTGTTCTTGAGGTCAAACTCCAGACACAAATGGGTCAAGAGCCTCCCGAGTGGGTGCGTCAGCTGATCTCAAGTCACCTGGTTGAGGCGGTGCCCAAGTTCTCCAAGTTCATTCACGGTGTGGCATGTCTGTTCCCCGAAAGGATCGACCTGTTGCCCTTCTGGATGCCTCAGATGGACGTTGACATCAGGAAACCTATAACACATGACTTTGGCATTCACCGTGGAGGTCATTCCGCGAACACGACGACCTCTGACGAAGACGATGAGGAAGACGAATTTGATTCAGATGACGAGGAGCTCCGTGCACCAGCCGCGCGCAACAAGCAGGCTGGCGCAGGGGGCAATGGAGAGTCAAGCAGGGCGGGTGCTGGCAACGGCGCCGGCGTCGACATTGAAGACCAGACGGCTGATGGTGTCGCTGCTGGTGACGCAGACTACATCTACGACTCAGACGAGGAGTACGACCCGAATGAGGCCCTCGAAGAGGCTAGGAGGATCGGCGGCTGGACGTATTACTCAACGCTGGCGAAGACGAAGGGCGCAGCCTTTGGCCACGAGGCGCTCGAAGTCCTCAAGTGGGTGGTCCCCCACCCCCGCGGTTCAGTGATTCCCAGGAGAGAGGTGCAGACCACCCTCTTCGGAAGCGGTGAGATACAGACGAAGAAATTCAAGGCACCCAAGGGAAAGAAGATCTACGTTCCCGTGCGTGTTGAGCCAAAGGTGTACTTTGCGGCTGAGAGGACCTTCTTGGGTTGGGTGAGTCTGTTCGACCGAGCTCACAAAGAAAAATGCTTACCGTCTGACAGCTGGAGTATTCCATTTATGTGGGCACCGTAGCCGTGACGCTGATGAATTTTGGCACAAGCCCCACGAGCGCGTCGTTCATCGTGGCTGGCGTCTTCACCTTGCTTGCCATCCTCTCGCTCTGTTACTCGGTCGCCATCTACCTGTACCGCAGCAGCGCCATTCGCAACAGACGCAACATCAAGTATTACGATCGCTGGGGGCCAAGCGTTCTCTGCGGAGCTCTTTTCGTGGCCGTGTGCCTGAACTTTGCATTTGAGGGGCGGGAGCGTGAGATTTGGTGAGCGACTAGGTGTGTACCAACGACTTGTGTGTGGTGTAGAGTGATTGGTGACGCGAGGTCATCACGTCTGTGGAGAGGGTGTATTTGGGTCTGAGCATTGTATTTTGTGGCTTTTTTTTTTGGATCCAGTTACAGATACAGCAGCGCATTGTTCATAGTAAGGGAGTGAGAGTATAGATCCTTCCAGCGTTCGTACTGTGTCAGTCCGCCCGAGTCTCGATCTCGGCTTCTCAACGCCGAGCTCAGTGAGGTGATGGTGCCTACCTCAGAAAGCTGGGGTTCGCTCGGCTAGACGAAGCTTCCAGCTAGCTCCGAGGTCAGCTGCTGTCAGCCCTAGACAACTCCGACGTGTCGTTCAGCAATCAACTTGCATCAGACGAAGCTGAGAGCCAGTCAAGTATCACACCATTGCGTTTTTTGCAACGCTTGGTTGACTGCGTGAACTGGCTATTCCTTGGGATCCCGGCTGCAGATGCATAAGTACGGGCTGAACCCCGTTGTCTCAGCCGCCGGAGGAGCCGCACTCAAACTGCCCACACTGCTCGCGCTTGCTTTCCCTGCCTCTGAGGCCTGATGATCAGCGAGAATCAGCAAAAGCCAGTCGCTAAGTAGACAACCCGGTACTTTTCATTGCGCAGATAACTCTCCAGCCGTCAGGATGACTGCCCTCGTTGCGGAGGGTGTGTTTGGCCGATGCGTGCCCCCGGAGTCAAAGTACGCCATTACAACGAATTTGCGGGGTTGGGACAACGCGGTCAAGTTGCGGGATGGAGACAAGGTCGTCATTCACAGATTGTGCACATTTATCCACGCTTCGGTCCGTTCCAGGATGTCAAGCTCGTAAGCGCATCACAGCCTCCCATTATACAAGGCGTGGACTGACTATTGGTGCTGCTAGTTGTTCGGGGCCCTCGCTGGGAAGCTACAACTTGCCGAGGGTCTGTCGCTGTTGGCTTTCACTGACCCTGGAGTCTTCCAAATGATTGCCAAGCATGTGACCAGTCCTCACCGTCGTGAGCCCATCGTCTCGCTGGAAGAACTGCAGCTTCATGTTGTCGACGTAGCTGACATTCGGCTGTACGTCGCCGTGTTTCCTGCGGCCAAGACACCCGGTGTCATCGGTGCCTGGATGAATCCTGGCATTGGACTGTCCATCCGCTTGTCGGAATATCTGCTCTCGCAAATCGACACGTTCACACTGGTCAAGTCAGTGTCGACTACAGAAGCTCCTCCGCAAGGATCGTTCCTCCCCGAAACAGCAGATCATGCGAAATTGAGGGAGCGGATATCTGGGCTCCTTCATAGGGCTTCCGTCGACCCTGAGAAGATCAGGGTCACTCCCGACGATGTTTACCTCTACCCAACGGGAATGGCCGCCATCTACACAACGCACAGTCAGTTAGTTGCACACCGCCCCGGCACCGTCGTCATCCTCGGCATTGCCTTTCCCAGCACGATTCAGTTGCTTTTGGAGACCTCGCCCCACGGCTACAAGCACTTCGGTCCCGTAGACTCTGCAGGCCTCGACGTGTTCGAATCTTGGCTGGGGGAGGAGGCTGCTCAGGGCCGGGACGTGACGTACGTCCTCGTCGAGTTTCCCTCCAACCCCCTCCTCGCCAGCGTCGACCTACGCCGCATCCAGGCCTTGTCGCGGAAGTTCGGCTTCTTCTTCGTGATCGACGAGACCGTCGGATCCTTTGCCAACATTGACGTTCTTCCCTACTGCGATCTGATCGTCACCAGCCTGGCAAAGACCTTTTCCGGCTACGCGAACGTCATGGGGGGCTCGGCGGCGCTGAACCCCCTGGCCCCGCGGCACGCCGAGCTGAGGAAGCTCTGGGACACGCGCTTCCACAACGAAGTCTTTCGTGGCGACGCCGCGGTCCTGCTCGCCAACTCGGACTCGTATCTCGAGCGGACGGCCGTGCACAATACCAATGCGGGAACCATGGCCGCGTATCTCGCGGCCCAGACGCGGGACCTCGACCCGTCCTCGCCGGTTCTTCGCGTGCGGTATCCGACGCAGATGCCCGACTACAATGTCTTTGCGTCCTTCTTGCGGCGGCCGGCCGAGGAGCTGCCCGAGCCGGGAGGCGGATGTCTTCTCACGGTGGACTTTGTGACTACGGTGGCCGCCAAGGCTTTCTATGAGGCGCTGCAATTCTATCACGGCCCGCATCTTGGGGCGCCGAAGACGCTGGCGCTGTGTTATGTGGAGCTCGTGTTTAACAGGAATCCGGAGGATGCAGAGTATCATCGGGGGTATGGTCTGCTGCGGGAGAGTGTCAGGATCTCGGCGGGCTTGGAGGAGGTGGGGGATCTGGTAAAGACGCTCGAGGTGGCGCTGGAGGCTGCGAGGAAGGTGGTGAGTAGCTGATGTTGTTTGTGGCAATATGCATGTCCTTCTTGAGTAAGGTATGTAATGATGGGTATATGTTTAGTATAACATGTTTAGGGGGAAATACTAGCACGGCTGTTCGGGCAAATCTGCCAAACCTGCGGCTCACTGTCAAGCCTGGCCGCTGATCCTGTGACTGCCACGCTGAGAAGTCCCGGGAAGGCCCCCAGGAAGCTTGTCTTAGGCTCGAATTCGGAGATTTTGTAAAGAGTAATGGTCAAGTTCGACGTCGAAATCGTGAGAAAATCACTACCAACAAGAATGAACAGGTGGAAGGAACATCAGTCAATCTGAGCTCCTTCGCCAGCAGCCTCGGAATTGGACCCCCACTGAAAAGGCCCCCTGAGTGGGCTTGCTCTAGTGGAGCCAGGGGATTCAACGGTCCCGCTGTCGGATGCGATTGCTAGTGGCCGAAACAGACAACAAGGCCAGGTCGGGGCCAATCAAGCACACCAAGCTCACCTGGCGCGCCTCGTCCACGTCGCCTCCAAGCCTCCAAGGCTGGGCCTCGAGAGCTAATAACGTTAATGTACCAAGGCAAGGTAAGGTACTTAGCACCAAGTACCCAGATCTTGGCTGGCGAGCTCCACCTGGCCCCAGCCCAGCGCTGTAACACGTTGATCTTTAATCTTGCCTAGGTCTCCGATCGGATTCGCCCATCCAATTCCTGCTACCTGGTCCAAACGGCAATCTTCCCTCCGTCTCCTTGAAGCGCAATCTGATCACTCTCCAGTCAGACATGCCACGGGCTTTGAACTCAATCAGCTGATCTACCTATCGAAACTTGTCGAGACGAGCCAACCACCCCCGAGCTCCCCGACTCGGTAGCCCTCGACAGCGATAGCGCATAGCGCATAGCGCATTTACCCCTTCGAGCCCCCCCTTAAACCTGGTCATCCTCCATGAGGTCTGCTGGTCACAACAGGTAGCCCTTCCCGAGTCCCGGACCACGACGCGATGCAGTGGCCATGGCGAGGCGACGGCGATGACCAGGGCAGCCTCAAGAAGAACGACTCGTTGCTGCCCACGTCCAACTACACGCCCAAGATTACCGGGGCGTCTCACGATGGCGACTTCGAGAAGGAAGCCCCGGCGCGGCCAGCCTACAACCGCACCACGTCTGCGCAGTCAAGAGTGAGAGCCGCACGCCCGCACTGCCGAGTCGTCAACGTTAGCTAACAGCGAGATCGATCACAGAGCGTTGCCGAGCAGTACTCGTTCATGACCCCGGCCGAAACCGCCTCTCCACTGCAGACCTCCCTCACACATGGCCTGGCGCCGGCGTCTGCCTCAGGTCGCCTCCATGACTACGGGCCAAACGAGATTCCTCACGATCCGCCCGAACCGTTATGGCTGCGCTTCGTCAAGCAGTTCCAGGAGCCGCTGATCGTCCTGCTTCTCGTCTCGGCTGGCGCTTCGATTTTCCTCGGCAACACTGATGACGCCGTCAGCATCACTGTTGCCGTCACCATTGTGGTCACCGTCGGTTTCGTACAGGAGTACCGGTCTGAAAAGTCGATCGAGGCCCTCAGCGGTCTCGTCCCCAACCACGCCCACCTCATCCGCGGCGAGCAAAAGGGTCCTTCGTCCGGCTCCTGGCCCGCCGGTTCCACGAACGCCAAAGTCGAGGGAGCGCCCACCGATACGGCTACGGCCATCGAGGAGGCATTGGAGGTGGCTTCTTCCAAGGTCATGGCTGCGCAGCTCGTCCCCGGCGACCTGGTCCTCTTCACTACGGGTGATCGCATCCCCGCCGATATCCGCGTGACCAAGGCTGCTGATCTGACCATTGACGCCTCCAACCTCACTGGCGAGAACGAGCCGGTCAGGGTCACAGCCAACGCGCGCGCACGCCCTACACCGACGACACACCTCGGCGGCAGCAACAAGCTCGAACCGCCGAGCCCCGCTGGGTCGGCCGTCTCGTCGAACAGGGAGGGCGGGGATGATGGCGAGCACAATGTCGCGTACATGGGCACTCTCGTCAAGTCGGGCTACGGCCAGGGCATCGTGTTCGCGACAGGCGGCAACACACACTTTGGTACCATCGCGACGAGTGTGTCTGGGACGGAGAGTCCCCGTTCGCCTCTGCAGCTGTCGATGGACGATCTGGGCTCGCAGCTCAGCAAGGTGTCCTTTGTCATCATTGGCATGATCTCATTCGTGGGGTGGCTGCAGGGAAAGAAGTTGCTTGAGATCTTCCAAATCTCCATCTCGCTGGCTGTCGCAGCCATTCCCGAGGGACTGCCCATCATTGTGACCGTCACCCTTGCCCTCGGCGTGCACCGCATGGCGGGACACCACGCCATCGTGCGCAAGATGCCAAAAGTCGAGACTCTGGGTTCGGTGAACGTTGTTTGCACCGATAAGACAGGTATGCCATCCTCCCGTCCCCGGCCAGGGCTTGGTTTGAATGCTGACTTTTTATCAGGCACTCTTACTATGAACCACATGACCATCACCAAGATGTGGTGTTTCGGCTCCATCGAGGCTTTTGATGTTGACTCGGATGATGAGGCCACCGAGACAAAGCCCGACGCTGCAACGCTGCGCATTCTTCGCATTGGCAACATTGCCAACAACGGCCGTCTCGCCCGTCAGTACACGGAAAACGGTGCGGCTGCCCGGGCTGTGCTCTCCTCTACGCAAGGCGGTGACAACCCTTCCACGTACACCCGATGGACCGGCCAGCCTACGGATGTGGCCATGCTGGATCTGCTTGATCGCTTCAAGGAGCACGATGTGCGCGAGTCGATTGGTACACGCATCGGCGAGGTCCCTTTCAGCTCGGAAAGGAAGTGGATGGGCGTCACGATTGGAGGCCAAGGAAAGAACGACAAGGACTTTTCGTACATGAAGGGCTCCATCGACCGAGTTCTCGAGGCTTGCGACACTTATCTCACCAGGGACGGACGGGAGGTCGTGCTCGACTCTACTCGCCGAAAAGAGGCCCTCTCGATGCCCGCGGAGGAAATGGATTCCCGCGGTCTGCGAGTTCTGACCTTTACCAACGGGGCCGTCAGGGGCATACAAGAACAAGCCGGCCTCCAATGTCTCGTACTTTTGCTGGCTCCGACGACAACTACAAGGGACTGACGTTTGCCGGGCTCGAAGGCATGAGCGACCCCGCCTAGGCCTGGCGTTGGCAAGTCGATCAGGCGTCTGATGCGCGGTGGTGTCAAGGTCGTCATGATCACCGGTGACGCCGAGACGACGGCTGCTGCTATCGGCAGGCAGCTCGGTATGCCGGTGCCGCACGCAGTCGAACACGGCTCGAGCCAGTCCGCTGTTCGTCCGGTTCTCAGGGGAGACGAGATCGAGGCCATGTCGGAGGAGGAGCTTGCGCAGGCCATGCAGCACACCACCATCTTTGCCCGCACAAACCCCGACCACAAGCTCAAGATTATCCGCGCGTTCCAGTCTCGCGGCGATATTGTCGCCATGACGGGCGACGGTGTCAACGATGCGCCGGCGTTGAAGAAGGCCGATATCGGCATTTCCATGGGTCTGCATGGTACGGATGTCGCCAAGGAAGCAGCGGACATGATTCTCACAGATGACGACTTCTCGACGATCCTTCGAGCGATCGAGGAGGGCAAGGGCATCTTCAACAACATCCAGAACTTCCTGACCTTCCAGTTGAGCACGAGCGCCGCCAGTCTGTCGCTCGTCTTCTTCTGCACCCTGCTGGGACACCCGTCGCCCCTGAATGCGATGCAGATTCTTTGGATCAGTGAGTGGGCGTCCTTTTTCATTTGTCGTGCGAGAAGGCATGCTAACCCTGCTAGACATCATCATGGACGGTCCTCCCGCGCAATCTCTCGGTGTCGAGAAGGTTGACAAGGACGTCATGAACCGCCCGCCGAGGAAACGGGGCGACGCCGTCCTCACCCGTACTGTGCTCTCCCGCGTCATGACCTCGGCGGCTATCATCATGACGGGCACCATGCTCGTCTACCGCCACGAGATGCTGTCGGACGGCGAGGTCTCGCGCCGCGACACGACCATGACGTTTACGTGCTTTGTCCTCTTCGACATGTTCAACGCCCTGTCGTGCCGCTCCGAGTCCAAGTCGATTCTCCGTGGTGAGATTGGTCTGTTCTCCAACGTGCTCTTCAACTGGGCCGTGGCGCTCAGTCTCGTGGGCCAGCTGCTCGTCATCTATTTCCCTTGGCTGCAGGAGGTGTTCCAGACGGAGGCCCTGGGCTTCTTTGACTTGGTGCGGCTCGTTGTGCTTTGCAGCACGGTGTTCTGGGCAGATGAATTTAGGAAATATTGGAAGTATTCTCGGCGAAGGATAGGGGGCGGGTACAGCCAGGCGGTATGAGAGCAGCATGGTAGATAATGTAGCCTAGTGTGCTTGACGGCCTTGTACGATGAGATATATACAACCTGTACATTGGTTACAACTTGTCCCCAAGGACCATGGCTCTGTGGGCGGTATTCTCCTGGTGGTCGAATGACACGTTCTGAACCTCGTCCACTCACCGAGCCCCTCGCTTAGATCCCGGTGAGAGCGCCCCACACCGAGCAGCCCACTTGGCATCGGGCCAGCGAAGGGTCCCCCCTCGTCATATGTTCACCACCGACCTTCAACGCCATGCTCAAGCTCTAGCGAAACATCGACGCCCCGAGCCTTTCCCGACAACTTCCCAAACGGCTGGCGAGCTCTAGAAGCTATGCACATACGAGCCCGCTCACGCCAATGTCCGTCTCTACGAACGGCGTGCCCCCCGCCCGCCTCAACAGCTTCAGTGCCAGCAACAACAGCAACAACCATGGCGTCCCGACAACTCCCCTCCTCCCGAATCACAACGGCCCAGCAGCAGCAGCAGCAACAGCCTCCGGCGCCACTGCCGCTGCTGGCACGACGCAGCCTTCCATAGACGCCGCCTCGACAGCCGCCGAGGTGCGCGCCGCCCTGTCGACCCTCCATGCCCGCGAGTCCAGCATCACATGCCGCCTCCACACGCTCCTGGGCTCCCAGGCCGATCTAGCCCGCGAGCTGGGCCGGCTCGACCTGCTGCGGGCGTCTCTCGGGGCGCAGGTGATCGCCGCCCGCGGCGTGGGCAACAAGATGCTGGCGTCGGCGGCCGAGACGGCGGGCGGGCTCTCGGGCCGGGTGCGGACGCTGGACCTCGAAAAGGGCCGCGTCGAGGCGACGCTCGAGGTGGTGCGGCAGGTCGCCGAGCTGCGGGCCTGCGTGCTCGGCGTCGTCGGCAGCATGGGCGCGCCGCAGGACTGGGAGGCCGCCGCCGGCTACCTCGCGCGCGCGGCCCTCGTGCCCGAGGCCATCACGCGCGGCCGCTTGGCCGCCGCCATTGTGCCGACCGTCGAGGTGCCCGAC